TTTTTCCCTTATGGGGACCAGGAAACCGGTCCCCATAAGGGAAAAAAACGGATATTTATCACGTTATGGGGACATTATGTCCCCATAAGGATAGGTAAACCCGCTCGCACACACACACACACACACACACACACACTCTCTCTCTCTCTCCCCCCTCTATACTTCAACATTTCACTGCACAGTGGTAAGTGTGCTGCTAGCCTAATCATTACCTCCTTCCAAGACAATGTAATTTCCCCGTCCCTCTATGGTGACATCACAGCATCCCTCCTTAAATAATGAGTAATAGGACGGGGCAATATAACAATATTATTGGTAACCAACGATATCATACAAGTAACCTGGTGTCATTACCTGAAAGTTACTAACTGGAGATTATTGCCTGTCAGGAAAGTAGGCTTAGGCTACACACAAAGCAAGACAACAGAAAGATTTATTATTTGGCATTCAGTTTATCCTTCTAACCAACGGTTCCAGTGAAGTTTAAAGAAAAAGAAGCATGGCTATTACAGTGCAGTATTTCACAAGCATTGTCCATTGCAGTAACAGTATGTTCGCCATTCTTATAAATCCGTAAGTTAGATGTTGTTACATAATCAACTTCTATTTCCAGTTAGCAGAATGTCAGCCATTCATGTTCAACTTCCTGATGACAATTTTAAGCTTCCCAACTTATCTAGATGGTTGAACAAGACAAGAGCTTACCATTGTTAATTCCCTTGCAAGATAAGCACATTACCGACAGCCTTGATAGCCCAGCTACAGGCTAACGCCAAATCTTGTGATAAAAAAGAGCCACTGATAATTTCTAGAACAACTAGGCTAGGCTATTAATAACTTTTAAAAGTTTGTCCAGTGTGGTGTGCAAGACCACCCAATACTGAAAAATATAATTCCATGTCCCATATCGATCCACGAAAATACATGATTGTTCCCTATTTAACTATTGATAGAACCTTTACACAGCGTTTGTCTCTGTGGTAGTTATGTAGTTGGGCAAGACTTAGCAGAGTGATGCATGCTGGGAATACTAGTTTTAACCAAGTTAACAGTTACTAGTCGATTCAATGTAGCTAAAAAGAACTACAGATAGAGCTGTAATGTCATTGCTGAGTCCGGTGGTAAGGTTAATTGCACCAAGCTACTGTCTAACACACATTACACATGGAAGGAGACTTGTAATTTCAAAAATACAGAGGCTTTCTCCTGCTCTTAGCTATCACTTCCATTTCTTGTTCTATACCATCATTCTAGATTTCTCTCCAACAGGTTCATGGTGGTATGAGGTAAAGTAACACAGACTTTGCTTCTGTCGTGCCATCAGGGTGGGGTGTTCAGAATGGAGCTTATCCTGTGGCTGAGTCTTGTAGCCTGAAGCCAAGTGGAAAAACTGTGGACACTTCCATCTATGGGAAGCTGTGCCTCCACTCGATTCTTTTGAATACCCCTCCAGCAAAACAGAGGTGCCCAAAATGGTTTTCAAAGCAGCACAGACTGGCTCAGAGAATGATGCAGGGCTGAGGTTCCCTTTGGTTCCCCTGAGTTTTTGCAGTGCTGGGCTCACCTTTACGTGCTTCTTCTTCCTGGTTGAGGGTGATTAGGAGGTAGCGTGGGCTCTCTGTGCAGAAAGGTAGCAGCAGACACTGCAGGACTGCTGGCAATGCCGTCAGGGCCAACAGCAGGGGCCAAAGGGTCTCTGAACCCAGCAGGGACTCCAGGCCAAAGATCTACGGAAATACAGCATTTTGATGCAGGACATAATTAATTTCTGCTCAAATTCAGGCCCAAACTACTGACAACAATCCAACCAATCAGAATAATAACAGGTACTTTTGGAGGCAAACAGTTACTGGAAGGGATCCTGGCTCAGTGTGCAGCACTGTCACTGGGCCATCTGAAGACATGCAGCTATGTGAAGTGCCTTCTCTAAATGGGCCTTAGTGCATGGGCTTGGGCCCTGAGATGGACTGGAATCCCATGCAATATGTCTGCTGCCTTGTGCCCTGTGCAGCCTGGGACAGGCTCCTGTTTCCCTATATTAGATAAGATATTGTCCATGGATGGGTGAAGAAAAAGTTCTTCCAGTTTACCAGCTTATATGTATCATACCGCAATGTCCAGTGTTGTGGAAGCTCTGGGAACTATTTCATGCCCGTCTCCTATTAATAATAATGATAATGCAATACATTAAATATGTATTTTGTACTTCATATCATAATATCAAAGTTTGCTTGCGAAACTTTTTAAGACAGATTAGTACAGGCAGTCCCCGGATTAAGAATGTCCGACTTACAGACAACTCATACTTACTGTATATACAATGGTTCGTATTAACAAAAGGACATGCTACTTTGTGACGCTCACGAAAACATTGCACGGCTTCAGCAGTTCTTTGGCTTGAGGTACAGTACAGTACCGTATGTAGTTACTTTTATTATTACATTATTATTATGTACTTTAATATGACTGTTCCGACTTACCTACAAATTCAACTTAAAGACAGACTTAGGGAATGGATCTTGTTCGTAGCCTGGAGACACGCTTCTTAGCTATGGTGAACTACAACGTTGCAGCAGTTCAGTCTACACTTTAATGTCACCTTTGTTAAGTTAAGAAAAACCAGCATAAAATGTGCCATCTCACCTGGGCTATTAGGATCCCAACAACCACACCCAGCTGGTGCAGTGTCCCAAAAGCCCCCCGGACAGCGGTGGGGGCCACCTCGCCCAGATACATGGGGGTGAGTCCAGTGCAGAAGCCACAAAAGAGGCCGATGACTAGACGTCCCACTATCACCATTTCAAAGGAGGAGCAAACCTTGGCAAGGCCCATCAGAGCCGCACTTGCCAGGGCCAGCACATTCACCAGCATCATGGACTTTCGCCTACAGACATAGCAGCAGAGAAGAGAAGAGAAGCATTCACATAACATGGCCTCATGTTTATCAGTGGCAGGCTGGACAGCGCCCATGGACCCACTTACTTACCTCCCAAAACGGTTGACCATGGCGCCTACACTGAACGACCCCACCATGCCACCAACGCTGAAAATCGCCACGGCGAAACTCCAGATGATGGTGCCCACATCAGAGCTGATGGGATGGCTGTACCTCTTTATCCATGTGCTGTTGAAGAAGTCTCGCACTTTCTGATTTGAGCACAAAGCAGACAGGCCATTAGGTAAAGTCAGGATAAGGCACATAACTGATACAAAAACAATAAATGGGTGTTTGACATTAATTTGTCAAAACAAAGAAATATGAGAAGGGAAGCATAGGAGCAACTCAATAGCTCATCAAGTTTATATTACGCTGAGAAAAATTATGCTGTAACACTTTTTGTCCAGTAGGTGGCCAAAATGGTGGAATCACATCTCTGTAAACTGTTAAACCAAATTGATGAAATACTGATTTTGTTGGAAATGCATCAGTAAATTCACAATGCAATGTCACAGTTCCGTAAAAATTTTTAGGAAAATTTATTATAATATAAACAAGTAAGTCAAAATGCTTCAGTATAAATTAACAGGATAATAGTGTTAAATAGAAATAAGATGCAACAGTTGTATAAATATTAATTATAATATTAATATATATAAAAATAAGGAAGCTATTTCATCACTGCTATGGCAATGTTTTTTAATTGTCAGACTAAGAAACAAACCAGGCTTTTAAGGTACTTAAATGATCTGCAGCCAAATAACTGTCCCACTGTACAATAATCAGACTTACTCATACAAAAATAAATGATACATTTAGCAGTCTAGTAAGAATGAGCTTATCATTAGTAAGCACATCAGTGATAATTTTTTAATGCCCTTTATCTGACTTTGAATCAAAATCGGTCCCACCCCTCCTGCTTTCTAATTGGCTAAAGTGGTGTCATGTTTGCTTGTAACACACATCAGGATATGTCACGAGACCTCTACTGATCAATATCATTCAGTGTGTTGCCCTGGGATGGCTTTGGTCAGGAACACTTAATGGCATCCAATGGGTGTGTCATGCTTTGCTCACTTCCTGTGAAAATTAGCAGAAACAATTTGTGACCACTGAACACTTTTGTCCGCACGCACACACACACACACACACACACCTTCTCGGGTGCATTGATGACCCCAGTGTTGTAGCCGAACTGCAGGGAGCCAATAACCGCTGTGCCCACGCAGAACAACAAGAAAGCAGTCACCTGCTTTGGCTTCTGTAGGCAGCAAAGGGCAATAAGGACAATCACAGAACACCAAATTAACACACTAGGCTATTGGTGCGGCTGATACGCTTTCTGCCGTAAACTGGCATCAGCTCTCAAATCCACCTTCTCTGGGGACCACAAAGTGTTCATTGTCAAGGGCAACACTGTACAACAGGGCTTTATGTCCCCGCTCCCACGAGTGCTCGCTTCCCATTAATGTCATGTGAGGCAGAAGTCCGTAGTGCAAGACTTACAAAAGAGAAGAGAGAAACTTCTAAGACTTCTCCATGTGTTGCCCATAAATATATAAACTGTGACAAATGAAATCCAGCCAGATGACAGCTGTCAAGTTAACATACTTCACAGTATTAACAGGGCAGACATGACACTGAGACAAATGAGAGGGAACACAGTTTTACCTATAATATTTTGTAGTATTTTGGATGCTGCTTCAGACTAGGGTGCATAATATGCAAACCATTATAATGACTGTATTGACAGGTTGGTGAAGTTGACAAATATTCACAGAAATGAATAATGCAGGTCCTCTAGTACAGTCCCAGTCTGCTTTTTATACCTCGCAAAACCATCCCCGTGTTGTCTTGTTGCCCATCTCTTGTGCATGCAAGAACAGGTCTCAGAGCTATCGCTCAGAGTAAATTCTTGGGCTCCAACTCATCGCCTGGGCATGACTGCAGCCCGCCTCCACCCCTATGTCCTTGACTACTTTTTAAAATCTTAAGTAAATTCAAATGCAAAACGAAACCCGTTGTCCATGTTCTCTCCATTACGTCAAATATAGCTGGCGGAAACTAGCGCATTTGCGTTAAACCTCTAGATAAAGTATGTTCAAAAAGAATAAATAACATTTCAAATCACGAAATTACACTCACCTTCTCTCCATCCATCTTTACGCTGTATCAATGAATGATCGATGTGCTTGCCTAAGTCTTCAAGCTATTTTGTAGAATGAACACACATAGAATGGCTATGTTAGCTCAAAACAAATAATGAATCAAACAGGCGGTTCACGTAGGCAATTTTCTGTTATCTGAGTGTAGTATTTGAAATCATACCCGGTATGTAGACAAACGAAACCCTTTCGCTTATTGATCGGTTTGGTGACGTACGCCCAATATAAATGAATTAATTTTCCGTATACGCAAAGCATATACTTTATGTCATCTTATGTAACACGTGTTATTTACAATACAGAAATAGATATGAAATTGATTAAAAAAATATAAAAAAAAAACAAATGTAGTTACATTTTGATTTAGGCCTATTATTATTACTATTATTATCATTACTACTACTACTACCAATACTATTACCACGACTACTACTACCACCACCAGCAGCAGTAGTACTAGTAGACTAGCATTTATTTTGTCGGTCGGTATAACTATTTCATTAAAAGCAATCAACAAATGCTATATTCATATTGCATGACTCGAACTATTTGATGAGTAATGATGCCACAATTATATATTGTTTGGATAGTGAAAAAATATAATAATTTACCTTAGACTCTGTTTAGGTGTCCTTTAAGTTTTCTATATCAGGTTGTCGCTTTTGCAAATAAACAGTTTGCAGTTCTGCGGATCTGCAGTTACTTTGTAAATTTCCAGTAAAACAGAGCAGCCTTTCTGAAAAACACTCCGCTATCCTCTACTGTGCCGTTTTAAATAGGATGGTAGTACAAGGCAAACTGCACGTTTCATCGCTGTGACGACACACCTCACGCATTATCCACAAATAGGTTTTCTGCGAAATCGTTGCTTGTTTTTCGTCATTAAAGTTAGTAACGCACCTTTCCCTTTTTTCTTCATCAGGAATATTTAACGATATTTATTCGTTTATTTAGTTATTTTAAAAATGCTTTTAATTCGAAAAAGACAGTGGAAGAAGCATCATGAAAACGTGGCCGGTTTAATATTACTGTAGCCCAATAAAACAGCCACGAAAAACCATGCATAAAGCTTTTTAATGCCTTTAACTTCAGGGTTGGGGTTTGAACTGCCCCAGTGTGTGTGGAGTTTGTATTTTCCTCTTCTGTGTTTCTCTGGATGCTAATAGATTCCTGCCACAGTTAAAATGTGTTTGGGCTAAATCACATCTCTAAATGTGCACATATCATGCACATATCATGTTTGTGAGTGCCATACTATTGACTGGTATCCCATCCTGGGTGTTCCTCAGTTTTTTACCTTTCGCTTCCTTTGACGGGGAGCAGAGGATCCTGTCACCCTGCACATAATAAGTGGCTTGATGGTATATGGAAGGCAATGGGGGCTGTATTCTCCCAAGAACAGATCAGGTTCAGAGTGAGTATTAATGGAAAGTGGAGAAGCAGAGGAGAAAATGGGAAGTATGAGAGGCAGGGAGGTGGAGAAAGGACAGGTGGAGAGTGTCAGCTGACCTTTTCATATGTCGCAATGCATAGATGGCATGGATTTTATTAGTCGAAGTGATAATGTGATATAGGGACCCAAAAAATCATACCAATATAAAAGAATTAAAAATTTATTTGAGTTATATTACTGCCTTTGGTAGAAAGTCTCTTTCTATTCTATATGCCACATACCCCACAAACCACCATCAACGGTTTATAGTTCTCATTTTCTATCTGCTTATCTCTGTAGTACATTTCCTTTAAAACAGGAAGTGGAGAAATGACTGCCGGAACATATACCAAGATGTAGCAAATATAAACCGTTGTGCCTTTATAAGGAAGCCAGTTGCAGCAAATGAGTTACACAATAATGACTGACAAAGTTGAGTGGTGCTACAGAGAAACAAAAGGTACAACTGTGCAAAACCAGGTCGCACTTGGGGGATTCTTCACATGCTTGTGAGCTGCTCCAGGGAATTATTCATAATTGTTTCCTCGAAGAAGGTTGCATGGTGCCTCGGAGGTATTACTGTCATCTCACACCTCTAGGGTTGGGGGCTCAGATGCTGCTCAGTGCACATGGAGTTTGCATTTTTTTATATAACTGTTGAGGTTTCCGCCTGCAGCCGGAAGACCTGTATTGGATAAGTGGTTGGATATGGGTGGAATTTACATTTACTTATTTAACAGATGCCTTTATTCAGATCCTCTTCAGTTGGGTAGGGGACATCACCTCCACTAAAATCAGAATGAGTACAGGAACCCCACGCCTGCTGCCTCAGCCCCCTCTCATTCACACTCCTGACATCTGAGTGCTTCACCAGGCCCACCTCCAATCACATCATGAAGTATGTAGACGACAGCACGATGGTGGGCCTTGTAAGTGGAGGACACATGTCTGCATACAGACAGGAGGTGAACAAGCTGGTGGAGTGATGCAAGGCCCACTATTTGCTTCTCAACATCAACGAGATGAAGGAAATGACTGTGGACTTCAGAAGAAATGGGTGGTGGGGCATCAGTGATCAGAGCTCAGAGCAATTACATTTTTGGATGTGCATCTCAGTGAGAATCTCAGCATGTAGTCAGCATGTAGCCTCCCAGCATGTAACCAAGAAGACCCAACAGGGAACTCACTTGCCTGAGACAGGCGAGACTGTTGTCTCCCAGTCTTCAACAGCTACATTGATCAAAGGGACTATAGCAGTTTGAAAAATCCATATGTCCATAATCAGTTTTCAGTGCAGTGCCATATTAAACTTAGAATGTATCCCAGGAAGCACAGGGCAGAAGACAGGGGACACCCTGGATGGGATGCCAGCCTGTTCCAGGGGCACAACACCAATCATATTAATATGTATTTCAACCTTGGAAGACAACTGGAAACCCATGAGAATATGGGGGTAACATGCAGATATTCACATGCTCACATGAGAAGCCAGCCAAGGGCAAGAATCAAACCTGCATGCCTTAGCTTGTAAAACCATAGTATTAATCAGTTTTCTTTATGGCAAACTGACCACAATTTGAAAGACTGAATCTGAGATGGACAGGAATTTGAATGCAAACCAACGTTTTCAGTTCATATTCAACTGATTATTCAACTGATTTTCTTTACAACCTATTTCAAATGATGCACTATCCCCTTTTTCCAACAGTGTAATAGCAATATTCACTGCTTACTATTCTCTGTGCAGCAGTGTGGAATGACTTAGAAAGCTTTTACAAAAATGCAGTCAGTGGATTTTGTAATTTCCTGAATTAATTTTAATTCCTGAATTTATTCTGGCCTTCTTGTTGCTCAACCACACCAGCTCTTCTATCTTGTTCTCGTTTAAATTTATTTCCAGCTATAACACTTCCAGTGAATGGTCTTAATCTTCAGTTCATGTCCTCTCCACCTCTGCCCCTGTTGCACTCCATCTGTTAATCACAGCCGTAGTTGGGTTCTAACCCTAGGAAAAAACTTTTTTTCCCTTGAGTAAGGTGCCCCACGTGAACCGAAATATCCTGCTTATAAGCGGATAAAGGTGGTAAGTCTCAGATAAAACCGTAAACCAGATAAAGCCTAGCAGGTAAACAGAATAGAGGTGCTTTATTCACCCCTCTGGGGAATGTATGTTTTTTTCATACCCCATCTTGCTCTTCATGAGACACACATACAGGTGACTGCAAGTTCTGATGTCAGAGAGCAGCATCCAGAACAACTGGAGCTGTTGGGATTAAGGGTCTTGCTCAAGGTCGTAATGTCACTCTGCGGCCATCAGGTTTGAGCCACCAACCTTCTGATAACAGACAGTGTCCTGACCTGCAGAGCTACACACTACCCTGCATGGAAACAACACATACACCTTTGGAATGTCAGCTGAAAATTAGGATGGTGGGGAAAGATTCCATCGTCGCTGTCCTGTTGCTGACCGACTTCGTTCATGACTCCTGATGAATATGTGCTTGAAAATCCAAAATGAAAACACTACAATTCTGTTATTGAGGACACATTTCTTTCTCTAACTTACTTGGCAGTAAAGGGTGAGAAAGTGACAAAGTTGGCACATTTTAGCTGCAGTGAGAATTCTTGCAGTGATATTCTGTGCCAGTTGCAGACACCTTAGCTAACTATTTGTACAAAAGATAGTAGAACAGTACAGTAATCTAATCTAGAAGCACTAAACACACTGAACCGCTTTTTCACATTTTGCAGTGGCAGCATTATTCAAACTTCTCTGGCACGAGTTATCCTGCATAAACTGCAAGACGTAAAATCTGTCTGTCATCCCAAGGTTTGTAGCAGCAGCAATAATACAGAAGACATTTAGATTAAGCTTAAAGCATCAAAATACATGTTGGAATGCCCTAATTTTGTTTGTGCTTTATCCGTATTCTGCAGACGGAAGCTCTGTGGTTTCCTGTGTAGTTGATAATTAGCATTATTCTTTATAAGGCTTGTGATAGACACATATAGGTGGCATAGCCTCTGGTATAGTAACACTAGGTAACTATAGGTAGCTAATAATGATGTAAAAGACAGAACTAATGCAGAAAGATGATAAACAGCCCCAACAGAAAGCCATATGCAAGAGGAAAGTCCACTCTTTTGACACAAGATGATGATTCGCTGTTATGGTGCTGTTTGAATACAGGAACATACAATATTATTAAATTACTTGAAGACAGACAACAGCTGATCAGCATATTTCTCTGTTATTTTTGAAGATTAAAGTTTCATATATACCTGCTACTATATAACTGGGATCCAAATTTATTTCTGGCGTACAGGTGGTGCAGTGACTTAATAGATAATGCCGTGACCTCACACCTACTGGGATATCAGTTTGATTTGTGTTCTGATTGGGCCACTTCAGTGCATGGGCTTACCAAGGCTGAAGCCCAGGGGCCTCTGCAAGAAAGGGCCCTCAACTAATCTTATTTAGTAAAATGTTACCCCCCCACCCCAACAACTACAGCATTGTGAATAGTGGAGGGGGGGGTCTCTACCCATGTTATAATGTGCCTCTGGTTCCCGACTCTCTGGGGGGAGCTTTGCATGTCCTTATTCTTACTGGGGTCCTCCAGCTACTCTGGTATCCTCTCACAGGTAGCACAATGCTTCTAAAATTGCAGAGAGCAGCTCTCTAATCATGAACCAAATTAGGCTTCCTTCTGGCTTTTGGGTAATACAGTAGTTCAGAGCCTTAGTGCAGTGATCTCACATCTTCTGGGTTCTCAGTTTCATTGCTGCTCTGACTCAGTGCTTGGAACTTGTACAGTATGTTCGCCTTGATATTGCTTTCCTTTCACAATATGAAAATATGCAGTTTAGGTTTATTGGTTAAATTGCCCTTAGTGTACATTCCCTGTAATGCCTTTGCATTCTGCCAAATGTACTCTTGAGTTCAATCATGGAATGACAAACCACTGAAATTGCATTTATTGATTTCCTGTGTAATCACACTTACCTTCAGCTTGACAGAATGACAAACCATTATGACGTGATTCATGACTCCAACCAATCACAGATGTAGCATCCGTTCACATTTATGACGTAAAATGGGGGAAGGGACTTTACAGGGGGGTTACCATTGGATACGTGGGCAGGAGCATAAGTGGCACACTCAGAGATGGTGAGGATGCCTACAGACAAAAACTTGCTAGTTAAATTTACAAGGAACCTTAAAATATGAATAATACAAAGTAATCTATTATGTTCATAGAAAAGGTCCCCACAACACCGATTAGGATAAGCGGTTAGAGGATACATGGTTATGGAAGGAAATGTATTTTTTTAAGAATGAATTTATTTCATTCTATTTTCTTTGACCTTGTACATTTCTTTTAAAGGATAAGCACTGCAGGCTCTGTACAGTAAACGGCTCAAAGAAATGAATTGAGACCCTCCTGTGGTTGTA